AATCTTGAGAACTCCGCTCCCGGAGGCCCCCAGAAGGTGTCGGGCCCGTGTGTCAAAAGGATTTCACGCTGCAAGTTGTCTCTGTATGCCCTGGGGCCCCGTAGTGATCTTCCAGAGGGCGTCCAAGGTTGCGGAACGAATCTACCGCACTCAGCGAGGACGCGGCGAAAGCGGCACATGAGCGAAGAAAATGCACAGGTCGTCCGCGAGAAGATACGGCGACCTTACGCGGCTGCTTATGCGGGCCGCCAGCGCGGCACGCCACATTGGAGACGAAGGCGCTTACGCGCGACCTTATGTGGGCCGCTTACGCGCGAATGCCCGCGCAATCGAACCCGCTGTTCTGCGTCGCTCAGGCAAGATACATCAATGGAGTAGCTCACCCACCCAGCGGACAGCAGTGAGAGGGACTGCTTGCACTGAGCATGAACGACAGCACGAGGGGCGAAAGCGAGGTGGAGGAAGAGCAGGAGGAGGAGGAAGACGAGAGAGGAAAATCCGACCAGCCCTCTGAACGTACGCGGTCTAACTAACTGTTCTGGCCCCTTGTGGCCAGGAAGAGGCACAGGATAGAACAATTAGAAAGGAAAGGATATCGGCCCCCACAAAAGTCAAAGAACTCTCGAATGATTCGAAATGAACAATGTGTACACTCCCCCTCCCCTCCCTGTGGTGTTTCGAAGGGCTCCTTGCTTGTGTCAGGGACTCCGTTTTCGCCCAAGATGGCCCCAAAGGGGACCGCCGATGCTCAGAGATGGCCTCGAAGATGCCCCAATATATCCGACGAGGGTTCAAGATAGCTTCGGATATGGCATGCCTGCAAAAAGCCCCAAGAGATCCACAAAAAGGTTCCAAGTGTCTCGGAACTCTCCCCGAGGGGCCCTCGCAAGATTCCAAGATCCTCAAACAAGTTCCAGAGTATCCATGAGCTGTGCCGTCTCGCCGTTTCGTTTCCGACGGGCTCATGAGGCCTCAAGATGGCCCCACGATGGCCCAACAGAGCCCCAAGAGAGGCCTAAGAGGCCCCAGCACGGCCCCGAGACCGCACAAGAGCAACCCAAGAGGGTCCGAAGAAGGCCCCAAGAGCCGATGTTGAGGGCTCGTGAGGGGAGACCTGAATAGAGGAGCCCCCTTCCTGTGGTCGACGCCCTCCAAGATGGCCCCACGATCCCAAGAGGCCACCAAGAAAGCCCCAAGAGGGGCCACACAAAACCCCCAAAAGCCCAACGAAGATTCCCAGCTTCCCGAAAATGGCATCAAAAGAGCCCCAAGAGACGGCCTGCTCGGCCTGCTTGCGAGAGCTCCTGTAATGGCTGCCCTCTGTCTAGGCATCGTGTCTGAAGGGGCTGGTGGGGGCACGCGAATCGTCCACCATGTTTGTTGCCACGCGGCCCTCATGCGCCAGGGGAGAATATTCACCGAACTGAACCTGAACGACGAGGGAGGAGGATTCGGTGGACGACGAGGATGAAGGTGGGCTCGAGAAGGGGGAGGACAGGGAGAACAAGCAAAGGGAGGAGGAAGAGGCGAGACGAGGATGAGACCTGGGAGGTGCTGGTTCGGCTGATGGCTCACGCGCGGGTGCCTGCCGTCGACCCCTGTAGACAGCAAGAGGGCCGCTGCTGGCAGGCGAGGGGGGGAGCGATGAGTGTCAAGAGGAGCGAGAGAGAGAAGCCGTGTTTTTCTGTCGCGGGCGCCAATCAAAAGACCCGCACGGCCTGGCCGCACGCCAGAGTGCGAGGGAGCCTTTTCGGCTCACCATCAGCAGCACCATGCTTTACAGCGCTGAAGGCCCATGGGGGCATCCTCGCATCCTCGGAGAATTGTACATACAGCTTCAGTCGCGGCAATGCAGAAAAAACGCACCCCCCTGCCTACAGGGAGAAGGAAACTCATCACCACCACAACCTGGGCAATACAAGACCTGCTACTTCGTGGGATGCAGACAGATGTGCAAGATGCCCCGCGAAAGCGCCCCCTAAATTATACACCGCAATCGCCCCTGATCTTACCCCTGCTCCCGCCAGGTGGTGACTGTTGTGATCCCCCCGTCCTCCAATGCCTGGGGTGAAGGCGTGCGACACGTTTGCGTGCTTCCCCCCCGATGAGGAGCAACAGGCAGGACCAATGCCTGACTAGAAAACCTCACAAGCAGCACGTGAGGAAGCCAGGAAGGGGAACAACACGAGGAGCGTCCTGCTATTCCCCCTCCTCATGCCCCCCCCTCCTCCTCCTCCTCCTCCTCCTCCTCCTCCTCGTCCTCCTCCTCCTCGTCCTCTTCCTGGCCACCAACGCAGCGCCCCCTTACCTACATCCCCTCTCTCACCCAAGCCAGTCCCAACCCCACCGCCCACTTCTCCAGAGGCCGCCCTCCGCCGCGATCCTGCGGGCACTCTGTTTGCAGAGTGATAACCTGTGCAGCCCCCCGTTTGACGGGGGGGTAGGGCGACCTTTTATCCAGCGGGACAAGAGAAGGTAGCCTAACGGCCGCCATTCCTGT